AATGTGAAATATGAGAACAATGTCTATCTCATAGTGGGCATTTGAAAAACATAATTGCATCTCTCTTTACCCTTTATAATATCTCAAAGTCATCTTTGTAAACATCTCAATGTACTGAGCTCTAAAAAAGTGATGTCTGCAAGACTTCCTAAGGTAGGTGTATCTTCTTACCCTTATGGAAATTGACTCTGGATTGCTTTATTTATTGCCTTGTTATCATTTATGCTTTTTTTCTCACTTTTTCTCATTCCCAGGTTTTACATGCCACATCTTGTTACTATAGATGCACTTATCCCTAGCAACAAGCAGCCTCCTTCTAGCTTACTGTGACCTGAGAAACCAGATGATTATGCTTGTTAGAAATGTACACAAAATAAAGGTACTAATTCCTGAGATGTCGGTCTTCCTTACAATTAAAGTTCATGAACATTTAAAGCTAAATTTATAATATTAAATGAAATAATATGTACATTATATGTGATTAATCATATAAAATATCAACTATATTACTTTGAATTACATACCATGTTATTAATTATAATGCCTTACATTTTCTTGTTATAAAATAGGAAAAATAATACTGCTTGCTCTTTCACATTTTGTATTAAGATTAAATGAATCTACACTGCTGGCGAAAATGGAAAATGATACATCTTCTGTAGAAGAGAATCTCTCAACATCTAATGTACCTGTGTATACATTTGCCCTTTGACTCCAGCATTCTTGCTTCTAGGAATTTACCCTGAAGATAATCTCCACAAATATCAAACAACATGTGCACAAAGCTATTTGCTATAGTATTATTTCTTTTTTTTTTTTTCCTTTTTGTCTTTTTTCGTGTCCGGCAACGGATCGCAACCCTCAGTGTCGCACCCGCACCGGACCGGGACCGGCAACGGGATCGCAACCCTCGGTGTTGCTCCCACACCTCGCTCAGCCAGTGAGCGGGAACCGGTCTGTATGTGGGATCCAAACCCTCGGCGGGAGCACCACCGCGCTCCCAAGCGGCGCACTGTAGCAGTGCACCACTGGGCCGGCCCCTTGCTATAGTATTATTTCTGACAGGAAATAATAGAAACAAACCTATGTGTCCACTGAACACTGGTTGAATAAGCCATGTCCATGCAATGAAGTACCACAGAGCTAGAAAAAGAGTGAGGAAATTCTGTACTAACTGATATGGAGTGACTTCCAACATATACTAAGTGAACAAAGACATAAGATGCAAATTACGTCTATCATGCTACCTTCTATATAAGAAATAGGAGAAAGGAAAATATTATTTGCATTTTGTAAAATGAACTGTAGGAAAGATAAACCAGGAATAAACAAAAATAACTACCTTTCAAGTGTGGATTGCAATAGTGCAAAAGATACAGAGATGTGGCAATATTTCTTGGAGTGTACCTTTTTAAATAATTTTGACTTTTAAAAAACACAACTGTTTTGTATGTTAAAAACAATGAAATTAAATAAAAAAGGATGGGATGGAAGGCAAGCCTTAAAATAGAAACAAATAACTCTAAGTGGGTATCAAATTGAAAATATAACTATACAAAGAAAGGAATTAAACTTTTGAACACGGTGTCCTGACTGTATACCCTCAGTGGGCTATAGCCTAAGGACAAAAAAACTGAAAATAAATCTTTAACCTTACTTAGTAGTTGCATTGTTCGTTAGTGGGTTTGGTGTTGTGATTCTGAAACTATTTTTTGTGTATTGCAGAATGGAGCAAATGAAACAGTATGTGGATGTTGAGAATCTCACTGTAGGAGGAGGGAGATATATATATATGAAATGTGCAAAGGAATTCTGAAGTGTTTGATTTGAATCAGTATAAGCTCATGGTTTAAAACAGATCAATTATATTCCCAGCTCTTGAAGAGCCTAGAGGCATAACACACCATTGAGCACACCTAAGACATATATCTTAGTGCCAAAATACCACTCCCTTCTAAAAGCAACCAGATATCCTTGGATAAGTGGCTAACTTCAGGTCTGGGCAGGGCATTGCAAGGATAATCTAGAATATTTTGCTGTGGCTGTAGCAAGGAAGACTAATGGGGACATGTGAAAGAGACCTAGGAGTCTGCTTTGAAGGGACTCCTACTTTGAAGGAACTCCTACTAGCCAATTTTTGAGCATCAGAAAGAAAATGATAGTAGTAGATTTTAATACATTGAGTCAAATGCGATCTATAAATCAATAGGGATATTAAAAACAGGGAGGAAAATGAGGAGAAAAAAAGTTCTATAAAAGGAATGGAAGAAAGGAAGGGAGGAAGGGAGGGAAGAAGGGAAGAAGGAAGGAATAAAGGAAAGAAAGAAAGAAAAGACAACAATATGTTGAACTTTCAAAAGGAGAGAACAAACATAAGGATACTTGTAGTGGATTGAATTATGTCCCCCCAAAATCTCCTGAAGCTTGAATTGTGTACCCTAAGTTTTATGTGTTAGAAACAGCCCCCACTGTGGCTGTTAAGAGGGTGGGAAATCCTATTATGGTAATTGAAAGGTGGAGCCTTGAAGAGGTGATTAGATTGTAGGACCATGCAGTAGTGAACGGATTAAAAATGGTGGTCAGGGGGCCGGCCCGGTGGCGCATGCTACAGTGCGCCACTTGGGAGCATGGTGGCGCTCCCGCCGAGGGTTCGGATCCCACATTCAGACCAGTTCCCGCTCACTGGCTGAGCGAGGTGCGGGTGCAGCACCGAGGTTTGCGATCCCGTTGCCAGTCCCGGTCCAGTACGGGCGCGACACTGAGGGTTGCGATCCGTTGCCGGACACGAAAAAAGACAAAAAAAAAAAAAAAAATGGGGGTCAGGGGCGTGGTTCTGAGGGCTTTAAAAGAAGGGGAGAGTCTGTCTCTCTCCCTCTCTCTGCTCTCTCTGCTTCCACCATCTTGCAATGTGAGACCCCTGGGTCACTGCCACCACCACCAGATGGACTTTGGACTTCCCAGCCTCAGAAACTATAAGCAATAAATGTCATTTTTCTTTATAAATCGCCCAGTTCCAGGTATTCTGTTATAGCAACAAAATTGGACTAATACAATACTAGAGATGGGAGGGACAGAGGGAGGGGGTTTGGGAAGTGATAGGTCGGGCAAAAGGCATAAAGAAATACCATGATTTGTAAGAATGAATATGCTAATAATAAATTTAAAAATTAATAACAAAAAAGAATGCAAATTAGTAAGTGCAGAGGGAATGATTGATTTTAAAATCACCCTTTTGTAAGCACCAGTGTAATAATTGATTAAATGGAAGATTATCAAGCGGTGCTAAAACCATTGAGTGGGAGTTCTGGGGGAGTGCGATGCTCATACCATCTCCAAGTATCACTGCACAGAGGTTTTAAAAGGGAAGAAGCTACTGCATTTAGTGGAGGGATTGGGTGGTCCCCATGTTATCTAACTGACCATATGCAACATCACCAGCTGAGGTGCTCCCTGACATTATGTGCCTCCTGACAAGGTACTATGAGCAATATACATCACCATCCATGTAATACTTTTACAAAAATATCTTAGATTATTTTTTTTCCCCACAAAGAACTAGGTTTAATATTATTAGAAATGTGAACGTGGACTGTATATTAGATTATTTAAAAATTAATGCTAAATTTCTTCGATGTTATATGGTATTGTGAGTATCTAAGAGAATGTCCTTATTTTTGGGTTATGTACACTAAAGAGTTTAGAGATCAAGTGTCATGATTTCTCCAATTTACTTTCAAATGGTTAAAAATACTGTATGTATCTATCTATCTGTACATATGATATTGCCATATCATACCTAGCTATCATACATACATACACTTGCATGCACACACATGAGAGTACTTCAAAAACTTCATGGAAAGATTCATATTAATTCCATTTTTCCATGAGTTTTCATTGTGTGAACATGCCTGTTGGTGCCCTGCAGAGTGCAGGTGCGCAATAGATGGCAGCCGAGAGAGGGTACCATCAACATGGTTTTCATTTATCCAGGCCTCATATATTCCATTTCACAGTGTGGTTAAAAGTGGAGAAGTAACCACTAAATAAGAGAGCTGTGGTTTTGTCTGAGATATTTGTGCAAAAGGGAAAATAAAGAATATGTTTAGTCTGCTATCAACAGCTGCTTCCCAGATAAAGCCACGGGGCCCAGCGGCCATGAGCTTCTCTCTCCAGCAAAAGATTACTTTGCAGGCCCTCAAAGGCACTGGGGTACTGAAATTACAAATTCTACAAATTCCCCAGAAGACAATTTTGCAGCATGGATGAAAGCAGCGTGAATCCAGTCAGCTCAATCAGAGAGGTTGCTCTCTGGCCCCCTGAGGGGAGTTTCAGTTAATCGACTAGAGCCAGGCTCCATTCTCGGCTCGTCCTTGAGGTGGATGAGCTCCGCAGAAAACAGAAACGGAGCCCCCTCCCTCTTTAGGAATAATGGAACCTAATCCTGGCATACAGAGGGCATCTACACACTGCTGAGACCTTCCTTCAGTCCAGTGGTTTCTGGGATAGAGCCTCAGAATAGTTACAGAACTAGGACTGGTGTCTTGCATGCTGGTGTTTTTAATACGGTAATGTCCACACATCCCCGTAGAGCAGGAATTGATGTTTTATTAATGATGTTTAATTAAAATTTAATTTCAAAGCATTGCTGCTTTCATGATGTTTTGATAAATGCTTTGTGATTTTTTGTTTCTTGGTGACAAGAGGGCGAAAGGGAGAGATTAAGGCACGCCTTAAAGCTGGGACTTGGGATTTGCTGGAGCACATGTAGGTACTCCTCAAAGAGCAGCCCAAGGTAGGCAAAGCATCTTGGAAAAATGCCCCAAGCTGCTCCTTGGCCAAACCCTACTGTTCATCCCCTGAGTCCTGAATTTCATGCTGATTCTCAGCACTGGCTCCTCCCTGTCTAACAAGCAAGGGTTCTTTGTGAATGCTAATCACTAACGCACACTTGGGCTCAGCATCCCCCATTCCCAGGCAAGCCTGTGTCCCTTGCTCACCGTCCTCTTCGGTCTGCACCACCAGCTCCTCGCTCTCCATCCGGCCTTCAGGGTTGGACAGCAGCAGCCGCAGCCGGATGGTCATGAAGGGGCGCAGGCCCCGCAGGGTGTAGTGGGAGGAGGTCTGGATGACCTCCTCTGCCTCGTACTGTTGCTGGTTGAACACGTACTGGTACTGCACCGTGAGGTTGTAGCTGTGGCAGCGGGTCACCGTGTAGCCGAAGGGCTCCCACTGTAGGGTCAGCTGCCGGGCTCGGATGTCCACAATCTCCACGTTCTGTGGGCCGTGCACTGGGTCTGCAAGACACACATGCAAGACACAAGGCTCTGAGTGGGTGTTCCCCTAAAACAGAGGAGAAAAGCTCTTCCAAATGCGGTTCAACCACTCATTCTCTGCCTTCATGATTTTTGCCTCATGCAGTATGATTTAAATAATATTTATTTAAATCAATCTCTTTTTCCTTATTTAAATACTTGTACATAAAAGAAAACAGAAATATACAAAAGGGAAGACTCGCTACAAATCACTTGCCATAGATAAATGTTAACCATAAAAATAAAGGCAAAATTGTTAAATTCTTTTTTTTTTTTTTTTTTTTTTTTTTTTTTG